GGCCCAGTGGTGAGAATCTTTGTCTTCTTGACATTGAGCCTCAATCCATATTGTAGGCTGCAGTTCTTGACCCTCTGCAGCAAGCACTTCAGGTCATTCTCAGTTTCAGCAAGCAGGACTGTGTCATCTGCATATCGCAGATATATAGCGCATATATAGTATATAGTGTGTGTGCATATATAGTATAGTGTGTGTGTATATTTATAGTCTATAGTGTGTATATATATAGTTATAGCGTGTGTATATATGTAGTATATAGCATGTGTGTATATTTATAGTATATAGCGTGTGTGTATATATGTAGTATATAGCATGTGTATATATAGTATATAGCGTGTGTGTATATATGTAGTATATAGCATGTGTATATATGTTATATATAATATATATAATAGCGTGTATGTATACTACATAGAGTGTATATAGAATATATAGCGTGTGCATATACATATCTCTCTATATATTACATATAGTATGTATATAGTATAGAGTACATAGTACATGCACCGTATACCTGCAATTGTAAAAATGTACCCCGTGGGAATAAATAACCACTTTTCTAGGGGCAACTAATGATGACCAGTTCCTAGAACTGTATTTTACAAAAACACGCATATATGTGGGGAGGGGAGAGGGCTGGGCAGGGAGAAAAGTGCACCCATGAATGAATGCAAATCCAAAATCTCTGTAAATATTTATTAAAATTATTAAGATTAAAAAAAAACCAACACAAAAAGCCCAAACACGCATATATGAACAGTATAGTAATAAACAGTAATTGTAATAAAAGCTGACATTTTCAGCATTTGGACCCACGCCGTTGTCACGCTGGCTCGGGACAAACACCTGCAGCACCCGCGCAAGGTGCACGCACACCTGTCAAAACGTGAAAACAAACAGGTGCCTCGCAGGGGGCGGGGCAGAGCGCGCATGCTCAGTGCAGAGCCCTCGCCGCCCCGCCTCCCAGCTCCCAGGAAGTCCCGCCTCCGCGCCTCCCGGAAGTCCCTCCCGGCGAGGAACCAGACGCTGCCGCGCGGCCTCTGCCGCGCGGCCTCTTCCGGCGGCGCGCTCTCCGGAAGCGGAAGTGCGTCACAGAGCCGGCGGGCGGTGGCGGCGGCAGCGGGCGGGCAGGCGGCGTCCGGGCGCCTCGTTCGGCCGGTGGCGACTCCGAACGGACGGAGAGGCCGCGGGGCCGAGGCGTCGGGGACGCGGAGAGCTCCGGCGACGGCGGCCTGCGACCAGGCGGTGAGTTGGGGCCCGTCCGCGGGGGCCGGGGAAGG